ATTAATGTTGAGCTTGAGTAAAGACAATCAGGAATTGTCGACCAAACTGATATAAAAATTAAAGACCTTAACACTTTAAGTACTCCAGTAATGGTTCCGCTTTACTTCAGAAAACATCTGTTTTCATTTAATTAAAGAACAAAAGAGAATGGCATAAATATTTTTCATAGAGACCTATTATTCTATAAAAAGTTAAAGTATGATAATTGGTATTTTTAAATAAGTGCCTTGAAAGTGTTCAAAAGGGAGGAAAACTTCATAACTCTGTTGCAAGCTAGTAATTTTGAGATGACTAAAATATTTTATAAAATGGATAAGCAGTTCATAGCTGTGCTAGATTAAGCTGTTGGAATCAGATGCTTCAAAAGATTATCAGGAAACTTTATGACAACATTTGTAAGAGGTACTAACTTTATTTTGAAGTTTTTTATTTTTGAAACTTGCACTGTGTTTGTAAGGATGTGCCATCATAGCTGTTTTACGACCCAATATGATTTACACACACTGAACCTGTAAAATTGAAAGGAATTAAAAAAATGTCGCGGTGCATTTGCTTGAGGTTGTGCAGGCGCTTTTACAAATCTTCCAAGTGGCTGTAAAGATGAATGCCTCAAGGGTCCAGCCAGGGCCCTGCTTTTCCAACCAGCTAAAGCCCTTATCTTAAATCCAAGCAAAGTACCATTAATCTTTTTGAAAGACCTTTTATGGCTTTTAATATATCCCAAATTAGAACATTTTACACCCTTGGTTCCTGAAATATGGTGATAAAAAGCCTTTAGAGCTTAATTTTCCTTACCGCATGCTCCGACCAATTTGCAGTTCTTTGTGATAATGTTTAGACACCTTAATTAAAATGCAGCAAAATATTGGATGTTCTATATGGAAAATGCTGATACTTTGGCTACACATACAAGAAATCCTGTATGTATTTTTATTCATTAAAAATGTCTCCTCACACTGTGTTACTATAGTTATCTGATGACCCCGAACTGTTTTTTTTTTTAATTCACTTTTTTATTTAATATAAAAGCCATTGACCAAGCTTTTGGGATGTTTACATTGCAGGAAGATGCATTTTTCTTGTATAGAGGTGAAAGGGTGATTCCTGTCTGCCTGTCTTGTTTGTCGTAGAGAAATACAGCACAGTATCCTTTTATATTCTGAAACTCAGGTTTGACATCTCGACTGAAAAATACATTTTTTTTCTTAACTACCTCTTCATGGAAGGCCTTATTATCCTTTTGTATTTCCAGATATTCTTGTTCCATTTCTTTCTCCACAGAAATAAGTGAAACAGTCACTTAAACATTTGAAAGTCAAAAACTACTATGGATTTTTATCATCATTACAAATAGTATTTTTTTTTCTGTAAAAAACACAATACATAGAACAACCTTGCTTTAATGTTTATTGACTGAAGAACATTACATTTAACCTGGCCCATGGTCCAAAGCAGGTAGATACTACATCCCTATAGGAACATTGTCTGAAAGTGCTCCTATAAACCTGGTAGTTTATTTAGTTCACAAAGTGATGGAGCCCACTCTGCAGTTTAAGAATTCTTAAAAGTTTATAATGTGTCTTGATAGTGGCCTCTGTAACTTTGCCATGAAGCTGGTGGTTCTAGGTTTGGTTTTATTTTTAGCTTTGCAGCAACTCTGAAAGCATTTCTGTTTGGCTGTGGTAGGGTAGAGAGTCAGTCCATGGTGCTCCTTGGTTTGTCTGTCTTATATCTGGGAAACTCGAAGGAGAAACTTCAGTAAGTTAAAAATAGAGAACTGTAATTTGACTTCACAACAGTTTGGGAAAACAGCTTTCACTCATGGTAATGGTGGATAGCAAATATGGTTCACATTATATTGTTTCTTACCCAAAGGAGAGGGATGAGTTTAAATAAAATAAAAAGTAGATGAGAGGTAAATAGGACTTTGACCTGGGGGAGTTGGTAAACTGTATCGTGCATCATTCTTTTATTTAGTTTGTATTAAATGGAATGGAATCAGCAGAGAAATACAGATATTCAAGGAATGAAGCAGGAAAGAGATTAAGTCATCCATGTGAATCTTGGCATCTTTCTGTACATCTTAAACTTCGGTTACAAGCTGCTTTTTGTGACAGAAAACAGCTTCTTAGGTCCGTTTAATGCTCCCTATTTGTCCAGTTTTGCCCCACACTTCCCACTCCCCTTGCATTTAGCTGCACCTTTGTGATTAACTCTGACGAGAAACGCCTGTGTTACTTTACGAGCCCCTAAGAGATCCTCCAGTTCTGCCACATAAGGAAATGCAAGATGTATGGGGGCCTTACATGTTCTCAGAGTTAAACTGAAACAAAAAGTCATTGATATTTAGGGATTCGTTTGGCACTCCACTAACCTGAGCAGCAGATTCTAACTTCATTTCCTTTCATGTATGACAAGTAAAAAGATTTTCAGTGGATTGGGAATTCCATCTTAGTGGAAAATGATGCCACCACACTTTCTCTGAGTTTCTTGCTGAGGTGTAGTAATGCTCAGCCCCATTATTAATCTTTTTAAATCTCAATCTCCCTGCCCCCTTCCCTCCCTTCCTCCCTTCCTCTCTTCCTCCCTCTTCCCCGCCCCCCTCTGTGTATGTGTGCATACATATATACTATGGATGGTTTGTGTATAAAGAGAGAACCATCTCTTTTTTGATACAGGGTGTCTTGTGTCATGGTCCCCTGCCCTGCCCTGCCCTAGAAGGATTCTCCTGCCTCTGCCTCCCATATTTCTCATACAAATTAGAATTACAGATGTGTTTGCTATCATGCCTGGATCTGTGATGGGGGGGGCTGTCCAGGTATTCGAACTCATGTCCTCACACGTGTGTGACAAGTATTTTACCTATGGAACCATCTCCCTGCCTAGTTCTTTGCCTTTTGAGGGGGGGAGCTAACTTAGGTGACCTTTTCTGTAATAAAGAGCTAGAAAAGAAGAGAGTTGACAGAACAGAGTCAGCGTGGAGGTGGCCGTACTTCTCTCGTGCCCAGTGTGAAAGAGTCCTATGTGGTTTAGTGCTATGTCTCCAGTGACTGGCAGGAGCAAATGCCTGTGCCTTCATAAAGGTTAGGAGTAAATGTTCTTGTACAGTTGTTCAGCTAGCATTGGTTTGGATTTTGAGAAGATATTGAGGTTGCTTTGCCTTCTCAAATTGATGTGGGATTCCCCTCTGTATGCTGTGAATACCACTGATTAATAAAAAAAACTGCTTTGAGCCTATAGCAGAGCAGGGCATAACAGAGCTAGGCCAGGAAAACTAAACTGAATGCTGGGAGAAAGAAGGTGGAGTTTAGAGAAGCCATGGAGCCAGCGCCAGAGACATATGTGAAAACCTTGCCAGTAGGCCACAGCCACATAGCAATACACAGGTTAATAGAGATAGGTTACTTTAGGATATGAGTTAGCCAGAAATATGCTTAAGCGATTGGCCAAACAGTATTGCAAAAAAATATGTTTTCTGTGTAATTATTTCGAGAGTCTGGGCGGCCAGGGAACGAACAAGCAGCCTCCTACAACATCAAGTGAATATTCAGATTCTGCTTAGTCCTTTCCATGGCTGTAGTGCTGGTAACCATGTCAACACCTTAGTGTGATTGTTACCTTCCATTGAGAGAGAAAAAGAATGTGTGTTTCCTTACTGAACTGAAAAGCCAAGTCTGTTTCTCTCAAGTTTGTAAATTCCAGAGATCTTGATTATCCCTTGTCTATTTTGCTCAAGAGAGATGTATCAAGCATTACAGACTTCATCTGCCTAAGTTTACTTCTTGCGCATGAACTCTTCACTTCCAACCATACCTTACTAGACTGCCAGCCAGGCAATTCTCTAAAACTCAGATTCTGATTGGCTAATTTGAATGACTTCCTATGTTTCCTCTCCACGAGTCTGCCTGTCTTCTTCTAATATGTGTTTAGTTGAATGAAGGAATAGGAATGCCAAGAAACATCAGAAAGATCGAAAGCCTTCATTGATTTAAAGCTTTCTTTGTTTTTGAGGCGGAGTCTAGCTCTGCAGCCCTGCTTGAATGGCCTGGTGTTGGTTACTGCAGCACAGCTTTGCTTCTCTGGTCAGCATCCCTTTGCCTGGGATTCCAGGTGTAGCCCATCGTACCACCTGACTTCACCTTGATTCTTCTGGATCGAGTCATGCACTTGGATGCTTAGTTTACATTAAAAATCCCCCCTGAAAGTTGTGTGCTGGCATTGCTGCTCTGGAGATGCTTCCTGGGAAATACTTTGCAGTCTAACAAGTGCTAGAGAAATACAGAGGCAAGAACTTACAGGCTGAGCTAGGGAAGACATCTGGATTGGGGTTCACGTTAAATGAATATTGTAGGGCCAGCAGTTAGCAGTCAGGGAAGCAAGAACAGGGCTGCTGCCCAGGACACAGCAAGGTCCTGGAGTTCAGCTTCTTTACTTTCTGACTCCCCTTATATTCTTTTCTCTCTCAGAGACTTAAAAGCTGTTGCCCATCATGCAGAGTGCATTTATGAAGTAGTAATTAGCTTCCCCATGTTTCATTAATCCCATCTGTGGCTGTCAATCAGCACTTCTGATCAGCACGAGATAACTGGTGTGACCATACTGGGTTGCTATAATTCTAGCCCAGAGCAAAGAAAGTTGATGTCTCTGTCAGTCTGTTTGCAGCCTTATCAGGGCAGATTCCTGTTCAGCCTACAGAATTGAAGGGATAGCTTGAAGGGCCTCATTACTACCTTTGTGGACCCTCAAAGGGTCTGAGTTTGGGAGGATTTCCACCCAGGGGATGGTGCTGCTGGGGTGGAGGATGTTTGAGTAGTGAAGGGCAGTAGAAGCCGTGTCTGTATTGGTTATGCTTTGTTCAGGGGCCCAAGTGTAGGGTTTCTTGTTTTTAGACACAGCTCCTGAACTATGTGTGCCCAATTTTTTGTACTATTGTATTTCCTACATTAGTTAGGATATTTCTTTTCACCCTTTTTTTCCTTTTTTCTTCCATAATTCTTAGCTTGGTGTAAAAATTGCCAAAGCAATTGCCTGCCACAAGTTTGTTAAAGCCAAAAAGGAGGCTGAAAACTCACAGGCTGCTCGAAAGAAGAAGAAACTGGCATGGGGGTAAGTTCACTTTGTCCTGGGGTGGATCAGATGGCTCAGCTGTTAGGAAGACCAGGGTTCAATTCCAAGCACACACATGGTGCCTCAACAACTGTGCAAATCAAAGGGATTTGATGCCCTCTTCTGGGTTCTGGGGACCAGGCTTGCATATGGTACAGAGACATACATGCAGGCAGAACACTCAGACATGTAAAATAATAATAATGTTTAAAAATTGAAGAAACAAAAGTCACGATTCTGTTTACTTGGTAGGAATTGCAGAAAATCTGCTTATCCATTGAATCCAGTTTGTTGTATGTGTCAGTAAAATGATTGTGGGTTTATAACGGGGAGGCCTCTCCTCAGCCTGTGGGGTTATAGCGGAGGCCTCTCCTTAGCCTGTGGTATCTGTGAAATTGCAGTGCTTTGGTCACTTACCAAACAGGTTATTTTATTTTAGAAATAAATTGAGATTTTTATGCTCTTCGTTTTAGGTTTGAAGCAAAGAAGAGATGGGAAACTAAAAGCAACATGGGATACATGTAGCCTCGCAGAGTTCTTCAGGACGTTTATGATAGGCCGGCATGCTTCATTTGCCAAAAAGATTTCCCTGCTTAGGCTTAAAATGTCAGAAAATTGATAAGGGTAGAAAAAGATAAGCCTGAAACTTGGGAGCTGATTATAAATTCTTTTCAGTCTTTTTTCTAAGAAGTTTGTAAAGGAAATGAGCATTTTTATATTTGTGTAAGAAATTTTAAGCATATGTACAAGAAAGATGGGAAGGGTTTTATTTATTTGTATAAACCTACAGTTTAAAACCAATTTTGTGTTTCTTCTATTAGGTCTAGCATAGCCTGTGAGGTCCTTGTACTTCCTTATCTGTTCTTAACATGACTGTACTTTTTCTAGACTTGTGTTTTTCAGATTGGCTTTTGTTTATAATAGATTAGTCATAAATATAAAAATTCTCAATTGTTACTGACTTTACCAATGACTTTAATTACTTCAATGTTATAAGAATAATTATTGATTCTTTATGGAGGCAGTAGAATTAATATTTTGTAGTCACATAGTAAAAGCTATTGGTTAATTTTTGTGTAATGTCAGTGGACATAATTACAGTAAAATGGTAAAAAACAACACAGACAGAAGGTCTTCCCAATCCAGTAAAAAAGTGGACATAACATATATGGAGAATTATTTAAATTCAGCTTTGCCTAGAAAATATCTTTCTAAATATTTCTCAACCGTGTCATTTTTTAGATTATGATTGTTCTTTGGAACGGAAATGGTCTGATTGTGGTAGACAGATCATTGTAACTGAGGATATAACTTTGGATTGTCTAACAACTCATTTGTTTTTACCTCTTCCTCTGCCACTTTAAAGATGAAATGAGTTAATGAGACTAAAGAGAGAACTAATACCTGGGAAGCCATTGTCCTTCGGTATGTGTTTTACAGTCCTAATGGAAATTCGTCATTTGATAACTGGCAAGACTAAATGTGGACACTGAAAAATTAGTCATGATTATAATTACATTATTTTTAGATATAGAGCAGTAACAATTTCATTAACTTATGGCAATATGTAAGTTTTCTTTATATAAAGAATTAGTGAATAATTTGTTGCTCATTAAGAGTCCAAATGTCACCGAGTGGTAATGGCACACACTTTTAATCCCAGTACTCAGGAGGCAGAGGCAGGTGGATCTCTGTGAGTTTGAGGCCAGCCTGTTCTACAGAGTGAGCTCCAGGACAGTCAAGGCTACAGAAAGAAACCCTATCTAAAACAACAGCAACAATAAATTTAAGAGAGAGAGAGAGAGAGAGAGAGAGAGAGAGAGAGAGAGAGACCAAATGTCAACTCTTGTTGATTCCATTTAGTTGAGAACTGAGATCTAGGAGATTGGATATCCACTGACTTGTCTTCATACCTTTGAAAGGTGTCCAATTAAAATGTTCCTGAGTACTGTGTACTTCGAGTGAGTGAATGTATGCTTCACAGGGCAGGAATATTTCCCCCGAAGTTTCTAGAGTTTCTGGTTTTGTATGTAAGGTCCTCGGAATATGCGTTCCCCTTGGGCCCCCACCTCAGTTTTGTCTGTCCTTACATTCACCAAGGCTGGTACTTTTGCCAGCATGTTTCCCTTCTCAGACCTTGGCGGAACGTTTTTCGTCAGGATCAGATTGTGGAGCCTCTGACTTCTCCGTCAAATCAGCAAGGCCCTGCTCACCCACACCAGTGCCAGCAGTTTGCCCCTGTTTAAAATTTATTTATTCCCCTTTTATATGTGTGGGGTGTTCTGCCTGCATGTATGTCTCTGTACCATGTGCTTGTCTGATACCTATGGAGGGCAAAATAGAGGCGTCATATCCCCTGGAAATGGAGTTGTAGATAGTTGTGAGATACCATGTGGATGTTTGGATCCTCTGGCGGAGCAGCCAGTGCTCTTACAGCTAGAGCTTAACTGAGTGAAGAATAGTCAGGAGGGAAGGCGGTCAGAGAAGAGGACTCGGCTCCCTACTTGTGTGGACGTGGATTGTGGATGTGGTGCTGTGGGTTAGAATAGAAAGGAGGCTTGGTGAGAAAGCAGCACAGTGCTTTTGCTGTATCTGCTTGTCTCTTATTTGGTATTAGTTTTATTTGGGATGAGCTTTAATTTAACTTAGATACTTTATTTCTTAGAACAATAAAATGATAGCATTATTCCCAGAGTATCGGTGTTGCCCAAGGCATGTAGTCATAGCTACATTGAAATAAAGGTTCTTTGTGAACCAGTAATAACTATGGTTCCTGAAGCTTCAACTTGTTCATTTACTACCTCCAGAATGCTTGAATTAGATTAGTAATGTGATTGTCAGTTCCTGCTGAGTGAGATTAATATGTTTTAGACCATTGGTATGGCATTAATGTAACATGATTTATTGTCTAAGTACTTCAGGTCAGAACAACTTACTGAGGAACAGTAATTTTCAGCTTTTACTGCACTGGTTTTGAGAAGTAAAGTTGGTAGTGCATTCTTGTTTAGGAGCCCTCGGGATGTTTCTGATTTCAGCAGAACATTCTATTTCTTTCACCAAAAGGAGAGTTTGAATATGTAATCTCAAGCTGGCTATAATTAGTTCTGATGACAGTTAAATGCCTCAGCCAAGACTGTAAATCAGCAGTTAAACTCTGATTTTTGCAACTGATCATAAATCTCAAGCACTGTATTTTGGGGCAGGCAAATAAAGGAGGGGCAGACCTCAGACAGAGATAAAATGTCATTGGGACATTTGGGTGCAGCTGTAAACCTCATACTTCAAATCTCATATGGCTTACACCTTTTGTCTAAACTATCTTTGACGTCCTTTAGTAGCTTAGGTTATTAACAACCAATGAAAAAGTGGAATCCTCCGTGTGGGGGTGTGTGGTGGTGTGTGTGTGTCGTGTGCTGGTGCAACACTTCCCCCTCGTTTGAGTTGGGACCTCATTCAGCCTGGAGTGAGCCTGGAGTCCATCCAGCTTTGTCCTTGTCTCTGCAGCCCCGGCTCTGGGGTTAGAGACCTGTCTGTGGCCATCCTTGTTTTTTTACATGAGTTTGGGGATCCAATCTCAGTTCTGTTATCCTCCAAGTCCTCTCCCCATGACTTTGTTAGGGAAAGATGAATGCTATGTGTTTGGAAATATATATACTTAATAACTAAATACATTATACAAGGCTGAGTTTTCAATCAGGTGGTAATTTTTTTGTTGTGATTTTTTAATCAATAATAAAGTTTGGGAAAATAAATTGATGTTATGTCCAGTCCCATTTTGAAATGTGGTCATCAAATTCAGAGTCAACTAATACAATTCAAGTTTTGTGTGTGTGTGTGTGTGTGTGTGTTGCCAAAAGTTGCTTTTATTTTTAGTCTCTGGCAGGGGCAAAAACACTTTGCATGTCAATTTAATATTTTTTAAAGCTGTTTGTTCATTCACTTAAATTTACACTCTACTAGAGTCTTAGCTCTAACTTTGAGAAAATAAATAGCAGTATTTAGACAAAATGTACATGTGAATATCTTTTTCCAAAGCAAATGTAGATTGGTGTTTGTGGCATCAGTGCCTTTTAACCTGGTAATAGACCTGAAATGACACTGTAAAGTTGGGAGCTTTCTGAACTCAGGGCAGCGTATTTTATGGCTTTTCCCACTCAACTGTGTATATGTGTGTGGTGTGCATTTGTGTGTGTGTGTGCACGCTCATACTCAGCTCAGCTAGTCAGCTTGACCTCTGTCTACTTTTTGAGTTCTAGGATTACAGAAGCTATCATGGCTGCCCAACTTTTACATGCTTTCTCGGGATCTGAACTCCAGGCCTCTAACTTGCAGCACTGACTGAGCCATCTCCTCAGGTCACTTGATGCACTTTTTCTATGAATTAATCAGAATACATCTTTAGTTTTCAAACTTTAAATTAACCTTATGCTAACAAGCTCAGTGTGCTCTTAAGTTTCAGTGATGTATTGAGACATTTAAATTAATGTGTATGTGTACCTTTAAAGAATATTTTTGTTCTTTGACAGTTATATATATATATATATATATATATAAACATATCTTGATCATATCCACCCACTCTCCCCTCTCATTCTCCAACATGTCCCCTCACCTTTATGTAATTAAATGTGATGATGATGGTGACGATAACCTCCTGAGTCTTATTAGTGCTGCTTGCATACATGTGGGTGTGATTAGTTCCACCAGAGCTTGGGAAACCTACAGATGATTACTACTCCAAAAAATGTCCTCATCCAACAGCCATCACCTGCCAATAGCGCTTCAGCTAGGGGTGGGACTTCATGAATTCTTCCCATCTGTGCTGGAATGTTAACTGGCTTGATCCTGTGCAGGCCTTGTGGGTCCATATGCACACTGGCCTTGAAGTCTAGAAGATAGCATGTTACAGCATTTCTTCTCTTCCCCGACTCTGTTTCACCTCCATTTTCTATAGTATTCACCAAGCCTTGAGCATTTATGTTTTTTACCATAAGATACTGAAGTAAATATAACCATCTTCCACCTTGGCGATTGAGTACTCTAGGTTTTGATAAATATGCAGAGCTGCATTTTTTAGTATTTTTTTGTTTTTTCTCCATACTGCCCTCACATACATGGCTTGTGTTGTAGTTGTAATCAGCAGACTGACTGGGGAAGGGACCTTGACCTCAGTGAAGCACAAGACTGGCAGATTGTAGTGGCCATAAAGAAACTTGGGAGAAAGTGCTCTTTGCTCTGGGGTTGGAGTGAAGTAATTGCCTCTGTGCCATCTGTCCCTTTACTTCTGCTCACTGGTGAATGTTCTGTGGGTGGTTGTTGCTGTTGCCAGGGTCTTCAACCACAGCAGTACCTGCCCTTTGAGTAGCTTCTTGCCTTCTGGGTTTGGTGAATCTGATCTTTGGAACCCAGCTATTGGCTCTGGTGGGACAGTTTATGAAATGCCACAAAATACCTTATGTTTTCAGATCTGCTTATAAAATTAAGAATTAACTGAGACATGATTATATTTTATTGATATTAGTAATACCTTTTTAAATTCAAGAAAAAGCAATAAAATTTTCCATGTGAGAGGACATTTTCAAACATTGAGTATTTAGTATGTGTCTTTTACATTCAGATCAGACTTCTTAGGGTAATGATATTCAGGAAAGAAAGGGAGGAGTTGGGCAGTGCTTCCCCTACTAAATGCTTCTGTGCCAGGTTTCTCCCTGTGTATGGTGCCACCTGAGCAATTGCTACCTGCCACCTCCTAAGTTTGTGGGCCACCTCTTGTTAAATTGTTGTGAGGGGCTTGTTTAGTTACAGGCATGGAATGAGGTAATCCTTTCCCACCTCTCATTCCTGAAGGGTGTGTCTGTCCAGTTATTACTTGTTCATTGAACCTGGAGCTTTAGAAACCAGCTACAGTACAAGCTGTAATTATTGATGTCTGTTTCATCTCATCTGTAAGCTCTGGCATTTGATCAAGAAGTTAATATATCACTTTATCTCCAGGCGAAATGTCTCAGCTCTCGAGGTTTTATTATTTGATGGATAGTATACAATTATAACTGCCCAGAAAAGAAAAATTGTATTTATTTGTAAGGTGGATGATACTAGAAGTAATTATGAATGTCACAGGGAGTGGTGAAACAGTGAAGTTTGTGTTCCTTTGGATTCCTACCCTGGTGATATCTGAGAAACATTTCTTGAACTCCTCCTCTCTTTTACCTCTGAAGTGATTCTGCTACATGCAAAGATGAGTAAATGCAATCTAATAGAAAACGCTATCGACTAAATCTTAGACATTGCATAGTTGTTAGTGACTTGGCAGCTTTGCCGAACTCAGAAGAATAATCCATATGTGGTACCGTAAGTAATCGAGGCCTACAGGTTGTAGTTCCTGTTATCTCTCACATGTCCCCATTTCTAGCTGTGCAGCTGTTTAATGACCGATAGATATTCTAGGGCTCAGTGGAGAATGGGTGTGTTGATACCCTCACTTTCTCAGCTACCTGTGCTCTAGGCATTGGTGGAATGTGACGAGGAATGAATGTACTGCTTTGTCAGTCCATCATTTTCAACTGGGAGTTTCTTGATGGTATCAGAATGTCCCTACATCAGAATGGTTGTCTCAGTGCCTGTCCATGTTCGGTACTGTTACGCATGTGTTATCCAAAATACAGTAACTCAGGCACAGTAGGAATTGGTTTCTTGTTCACTTGAGGGACAAAGGCCGATTCTGCAACCAGGAACCTCAGCTCCATGCAATTCTTGAAAGATCCAGCCTGCCAGCAACTTTCCACCTTTGCACAGGAAACCTGGGTGTCGCCTCCTTAAGTTACAGACCTGGCTTGGACATAAATCCAGCTAATCCTGCTCACTCCCCCGGCTACAACTTCATTACTGTACCACACTTAATAGTAAGGGAGGCTGGGAAATACAGACGACTGTTTGCAGGAAGGAGAGGAAATAGCTTCAGTAGTAGCTAGCAGAATCTGCTGCATTGCCTCAGTCAAAACGCATGGCTCCTGATCCTAAGTAACGTCAGAGGAATGCCAGTCCTAATTCATTCAGACTTGCTATGTCAGAGTTCCTAGGACATGTGCTAGAAATGTCATGTGTGGATAGTGGGACAGCATCTGTCCACAGGAGATCTGTTTAGACAAAGCAACATGCAGTGATGATCTTGAAATCCAAAGGGTTTAGACAATGCCTCGTCTACCTGAGTGGCTAGGAGTAAGTGAGGAGTAGATAGATACGCTGGGCTAGATGGAAACCTGCTGATTCTGACGCTGAAGTGTGACTAACTCAAAATACCTGAAACTAGGTCTCAAATCTCCTTTTGCTTGGCGTTTAGCATGGTGCTCATATCCTCTGAGCCCAATTCAGATAGACCTACCAAATCAAACAGTTTATTGCCGTGTCTTTTTAGGTTAGAGAATCTCTACAAACATTGTAGAAGCAGCGGGTTAGCAACTCGAAACTCTTCAGTCTTTGCATACAAAGCCCTTGCACCATCCTTGTAAGCAAACATTTGTTCTGTAGATGAGGAAGTTGGGGTGCTAGGAGGATCAGGAGCTCTGACATCATACAGCTAGCACGAAGGGGCCAGAATTAGAATCTAGGCCAAGCCTTTGGACTGCGCTCCTTTTTAGTGTCCTGTGTGCCCCCTAAAAGTTGGAAATTTAATCTGTGTATGTGGTATTCGGAGAAGTGTATGAGAGAAAGTTGGGCCTGTCTGATGTCGTTAGTGGCTTTATAAGAAGAGAGACCAAGGTAACAGATATGCTGTATCTCACTGCGTTGTAGTAAGGAGGCCATCACCAGATGCTGAGAAGACACTGCTGCCTTGCTCTTGAACTTCTTTCTCAGCCTCTAGAACTGTCCTAAATAACCTGCTGCATATTGAACTTGGTCCTCGGTGTCATCAGCACCCACCTATCACGGAATCACATGTTAAAATGGAAATATCAGGGTCCCTCTTTGGGGTAGAGCAGTGTAGTTGGCAAACTCCAGGCCTGTCTGCAAGCACAAAAGGCAGATGGCACAAGGAGCAACACCGGAAGTTGTCTTCTGGCCTCCACATAGGTGCACACGTGAATATACAAGCTGGTGACTAGTGTACCCTGGCAAAGGCAAGCTCTTTCTTCTACGTGAAGAAACTAGAATAGGAAAGAAAGACAAACCAGCCTAAATTGCACATTCTGCCAACAGCCACAGGGAAGGAAGTGTACTGTGTAGTTGCAAATATGAAGTCTATTACTGGCTCTACTCACTAAAACACTTAGACTGTGAATAGAAGAGGAAAAGAAAGCAAAGGAAGGCTCCATTCGTGTCAAAGATTCAATTGGAATCCTCACTTGACACTTGCTTCCTAGCCAGCAGTGCTCCTAAAGAAAGCAAGAATAGAAAATCTAAAGTCCACACATATAAAAAAGGTTCTATTCCCAAGGACAAACCACTTAAATCCTCAGATGAGTCTGTGCTCCTTGGAAGGCATTTTTATGAAATTAATACATTACCAGAAGTGACTGCAACCAAATTTTCTTTTTTAAAAAAAGAAGACAAACTTTTTTTTACGTACCAATCCCAGTTCCCACTCCCCTCCTCCCATTCCTCCCACCCTCTGTCTACTCTGCAGAAAAGGTAAGGCACATTGCTTTGGGAAAGGTCCAAGGTCCTCCCTACTATATCTAGGCTGAGTAAGGTATCCAAACAGAGTGGATTCAATAAATAAATAAATAAATAATTTAAAAAAATACAGTATAAG